ATGATAAAATTTGAAGGTGCACCTTACCTCTCTACCTATGGATGCATCCGTATTCAAATTGCACCCAAACAATAATTACTCAAAACAATAAAATTAAAAATTAGAGTGGCTATTTTCAAAACATTAGAAATAACTAATGCTATTTGTATAAGGCACTCATTTTCTAAAAGCTAAACCAATCTAATTTTCAAATGCATCCTTATGATTTATTTTATTTTTTTATCCAATCCTCATTTTTTTCATCTTTCAAGTTTTGCCCTAATTTTTATTTTTTTCTCTCCAATTCAAATTTCCTCCTATGATAGCCGTCGCTGTTATAAGACCGACATGAACTGCCTTAGAACAGTTCCATTATATCCGTCTTTGAATCTTGTCCCCGTCATTAAATCAAGGTTAAGGTTTGTATAGGGTTGGCGCCTTAAACAATCAAAGTAAGGCCCATCTTGAAATGATGTAGGAAGATGCATTTCATGTGCAGGAAATCCTTATGATGGTTTGCATATCTATTTTTATGTGTAATTATGAAATTTAATGCTTCACAAATAGTATAGATCGAGCAGATTTACCAACACTTGAATGGACTGTTCAAATAATAAATTATAAAATACATTATTTTCAAGACTTGAAATCTTTTTTTTTCATATGTATACATCTCAAAGTAGAGGTCAATTGGAGGGATTTTGGCGTCCAAGTAGCCTTTGAAGGAGTTTTTGAGGTGGGTCTTATTTCTACATTATAAAGTTGCCATCGTATATGAACTTTTTCCCTTTTTGGGTTCACATATAAACTTTTGGGAAAGTATTGGTACAAAATAGTCACGATTAATCTTGACCATTAGATGTAAAATTGGGTTGCTGCATTTACTTTATTGACCAAGTTCAAAATTCAAAGTTCAAAAGAAAATATTTTGAACTTTACGACACACCCAAACTATCAGATTTCTCATCAAATGGTTATGAGTATCTGTAACTTCTATGTAGCAAAAGTAAATGGTTTCATTGTATACAATCTCTCAAAGTTCTCCCTTTTTTTGTTTGAAATATAAACATTTTCTTAAATCAATGACACCAAAATAAGTAAAATAACCTTATATTCTCTCTTCCTTTGTTTTTTTTAATTTATTTTTTAATACAAAAGACCAACATAATGCTTCAAGGTGGCAAGCAAGCACACGCGTCTTCAAAGTGTTGATGAAATCAAAATTAATTACTCATTAGGTCATTATAAAGTGGATTCTAAAATTTTTGGATGGTCAGATCTAAGTGACCAAAAAATTAAGATTACCGTTCCAAAAAGAATTTGGTTTTAATGGTTAGCCCACCTTCAAAAATCCATCTTGATTCAAAGTTTTAGGGATTGATAATCTCGACCACGAAGAACATGAATTTGAAAAAAACTAAGTTTGAAATATAAAATTAATATTGTTAAAAAAATTATTTGGCACCATTCATTTTACATTTTTATGGAGGCTCCATATTTGTTGGAAGTTAATTTAATGGATATTTGAAGTTTTGGGGATGTAGCCCAACAACTAGGTCTTCTAATTCATCAAATACTTTCTTTTCTAATTTTAAGCCAAATTTATAAAAATGCCAATAGGAGAGGGACTTATTCAACATTTCATCGTTTTCCAAGTATTCTAACCCATGATCTTAGATGGGTATTTTAAAATTTTAAAAAGAAAGAAAAGAAGAGAGAAAACATTAAATAATTCATTGCTCAATGATATTTCCCCAAATTTCCGTAAAATAATTGCCCATGCGGTTATTATAAAGTTAATACTCAGAACTTATGATGATTAATAAGTAGACCCCAGAATTTCGTACAGAGATATGACCCAAGAGAGTAAATATACAATTTGCTCCCGCGGAGTACGCTATAGTAGCTCAAAAATTGTATAAAGGATAGTTTGACATAAATTAGAAGTACAATACTTAATTGGATGAGAAAAAAGATGCGATGAGAGATTTTCAATGCCTTGGAAAGCAACAAAATGGGGGCGGGCAAATTTTCTCTCCTCGAAACTCTCACACAATGCAAATACAAATACAAATACAAATACAAATACAAACCTCGGCTCAAAGCAAAGGTCTCACGTTCTAGCGACCACATCGCCACCACTAACGCCCCATTTCCCGGCCTCTCTCTAAATAACTCTCTTTCTCTCTCTTTTCTCTCTCTAAAATAACGCTCTTTCCCTCTCTTCTCTCTAAATAACTCTCTTTCTCTCTTTTTTTTCTTCTCTCTCTAAAATAACGCTCTTTCCCTCTCTTCTCTCTCTAAAATAACTCTCTTTCTCTTTCTTCTCTCTCTAAAATAACTCTACTCTCTTTCTCTCTCTAAAATAACTCTCTTTCTCTCTCTAAAATAACTCTCTCTAAATTAAGCTAAGGATTCAAAACAGAGACCACGACCACAAAGGCTCATGGACTCTTCAATGAACCCCCCTCTTCTCTCTCTAGTCTCCAAAACGATCATCTTCTCTCTCTCTATTAATCTTGGGAATTAAACCAAAGGCCATGAAACAAATATAAAAGCTCACAACCTCTTTAGTGAACCCCCCTCACCTCTCTCCTTAGTCAACCAAAAGATCTCTCTCTCTCTCTCATTTGATTTAGTTTTGTTTGTGATAAAAAAACAAAGGCCATGAAACAAGCATAAAAGCCCATGAACTCTTCAGTGATTTCTCTCTCTTTACTCATCCAAAACAGGTAACTCCCTCTCTCTCTCTCTCTCTCTCTCTCTCT